CCAGAAAAGGCTTCCTGAAAACTCAAAGAACCTAGGTGTGTTCGTATTCGCTGTTGTTAAGTGCCATCGAGTCAGTTCCAACTCAACCTGTACAGAGTGTTCAAGGAGAGACTGGTGGGTTTGAACTGCCGACCTTGTGGTTCAAATGGACTTGTTTTTTAAAACTATCCTCTGCTCAGTCCAAGCTGCAGGTCAGAAGTGCAAGCCACAAAACTCTTAGACTTTCATTTATTCACTCACCTGTTCATTCAACAAATATTGGTTGAATACCTACTATGTACCACCCTATACAGGGTCGCTATGGGTCGGAACTGACTCAATGGCACTTAACAACAACAACAACCAGGAGTCCCTGGCTGGTACAAACAGTTAACACACTCAGTTGCTGCTCAGAGGTTACCAGTTCAAGTGTATGTAGTGGCCACTTGGCAAAAAGACCTGGTAATTACTTCCAAATAAAAATGAGCCATTGAAAACTCTTGGAGCACAGTTTTACTCTGACACACGTGGGGTTGCTATGAGTTGGAATTGACTCTATGGCTTTTGGTTTCGGTTTAAAGTTAAGGAGCAGACAATACATCAGGCAGAGACCACACTGTATGTGGACAATTCTTAACCAGTTCTGTTTCCCTTAAGAAACAGTTCTCATTTACCAGGCCTCAGAAGAATTTACAAACAATGGCCGAAATGCACAAGCTGTTAAGTGCCATTGAGTTAGTTCCAACTCTTAGCAACCCTATATAGGGTTTCCAAGGAACTGCTGGTGGGTTTGAACTAACAATCTTGTGGTTAGTAGTCCTGTGCCTATCCTACAGCACCACACCAGGATTCCACCTAGGGTCTGCTTTACTTAGGTCCTCATGAACATTTTGTCAAATCCAGAGACAGTAGCAAAGACACATGGGAGAAAGGAAGGGGAAAACAAGGCCTATAGATCAATCCGTTTGCTTTTCTTTAATATAAAATGATTTGATTCCTCAAACTACAAGGAGACTTCAAAAAGTTCACAGAAAAATTCCATTACTTTTCATTCCATTTTTCCACAAACTTTGTGAAGCCCTTCATATCCATGATCTGGATATAAAATAACATAATTCAACACACATTTAATCATTTCATCCCCTTTATTTGGTGAAAGCTTTCATCCCATGACAGAAGAACTTTGTCCAGGGTTTAGATGAAGGCCATATGAATTGCTTCAAAGCTATGAGCCTCCCTAGAAATTGACTGTAACCTCTCCTGTTATGTTGTTGTTATGTACTGTGGAGTCCAGTCCAACTCTTAACAACCCTGTGTAGGGTTCCCAAGGCTATAAATCTTTACAGGAGCAGAAAGCCCCATCTTTTCTCCCTTGGAATGGCTATTGGATTCCAACTGCTGGTTTGCGGTTAGCAGTCTAACACGTAACTCATTACTCAACAATAGGGCTCCTCATAGTGTTAAGATGCTTGGCTGTCTTTTGAATCTTGGTTTCCTTTGCCTACCATTGTAAAAATATACACTTCTGGTGGGGAGAAAGGAATAGCCAGAATCATCACTACAGAAAGCTTGTAAGTCCATCTTCAGCTTATAACTGATTGAAATACCTTAAAGGGGACTAGGAGTTGCCCAGTGAAAGAGGCTTCCTGTGGAGCCTTTACATTGTACAAGACCATAAGTGGAATCCAGAACCCCATCCTGAACCGACTGAGGTAGGAAATTTCCACTGGAAAGGACGAGTAGACCAGCCTGGAGCGGCTAGAAGAAGCGAAGATACTTCGTGAAAGAAAGACCAGCAGGAAAAATCTGAAACAATAACGGAGGTCTGATTGATTACTATAAGAACAAGTAAGCTGTTTGCCCGAGAGCCATCAAGGCAAGTGGCCGGGACCCCTCAGAGCAAACTCCCTCCCAAGACTGAGACTCAAAGGGAATACATGAGCAGGCAGGTGGTCTGGCTGGTGACTACATTGGTCACCGATAATGGAAGAGGAGGAAAAATCAGCAATGAAGTTGCGAGCTAAGCCTGACCACATTCAATAGACCCCCATGAACACTGGTGGAGACCTGGATGGCCAGCAGTACGGCAAGACCCAGGTACTCCTGGGCCCAGAGGCAGTGACATGGCCACAGAGGACTAGAGTGGAGAGTGAAGCATCCTACTGATGTGAAGTGAGGGGAGATGCACAAGAACACCCATACTTGCAGGTAGTACCCACTTGACCTGGCTTCCATGGCTGGATGATCAGAACTCGACTAGA